AGAACTATTTGTTAAAGAATGCAAACCGATATTCGCAATTTTTGATTATTTTTGCTAATTAAGTCTTTTGTTAAGAATGAGAGAGAGGAGAGAAAGAGAGGGTCACCTTTGCAGGTTCGAGACCTGGCTGGAAGCCGATACCTACGACTCTTTCGCCTGGTTGAAGGTGAGGCCTAGTTTCACTAACAAGCCTAAATAGTACACAGATGTATATTACAGAATTAGGGACATCAAGGGTGAATATATATATGGTGTTAAAACACATCTCATACCCACTGTTAATAAGGCTTTCCATAAGATTGGAAAATGATAAAGCCAAACGGACCAGGATTGAAAAAGAAAGTTAAGAAAGATAAACCATTATGAAAGGTCGGAGTAAAAAGGTACATGGGGAGTGAACAAAAGATGTGATCGAGCAGATTTTCAATGTTTAGATGGATCTCAAAGGTTCGGAAAATGAAAAAAAAAAAAAAAAAAAAAAATACCGATGGAGGTTGAACTTTCTTTTATAACAGAAAACTTGAGATTCTTACATCTCAGGAGTGCGCACATCATATAATCTGACATAACCGTTGACAAAGCCAGCAGCAAATTGACCTCCATGAACTTGAGAAGCAGCCTACACAATTTATCATATTAGGTAATAATTAATTCAGGAGCATTCCATTAAAGAAGAGAGTGAATTAATTATCGAATTTATGTGTCAGAGGGACAATTCAATCACGGCTGGCATGTCTCATTTCCATCAGTTCAGTATATGTTAAAAAAAAAACTCAGAGAATGAATCACAAGTTTAAGAATAAACAAATAGAAGAATGTCTGCCAGTTCATATGACAAGCATCACGACATTGAATGAAAAAGCCGAACGAATTTCTCAGCAGTCACTAATCAACTCAAATGTAGCTGTGTAAAACCTACCAAAGCAGAGATGCTTGATTCCGGTGCTAGGGGAATGCTATTGACAAGCTGCTCTTTGTCCAAATCCCAAACCATGATAGATGATATATCACCAGAGGCAAACTACGCAGGGCAGATTAAAAATCAATGAATGGGGGTTGTCATACCATTTCTAGGTAGAGGTTGTATCTGAGTGTTATGGACCTAAGAAATTAAAGAACAAAAATGGATGAATTTCAAATAATGTGCTTCACATACAAGATATCCAGACTGTTGTTGCCAATCCACCACAGCCTTAACACTCCTGGCCCCAGGTCTGTGGCCCTGAATTGAAGCAAAAGCAGTAACTAACTTCTGTTGTCCTTTTGAAGCGTAATCTTTCCAAATCCGGATATTTCCATCATCTGAATTAACACATGCAAAGTAAAGTTAAGCTCCACTTAGAGATAGAGAGAAAATCTGTCAGCGAAAGCTTACAACTGCGGGTAAGAGATTTACTTGATGCAACAAGAAGCAAGTTCTCGTCAAGTTCATTTACAAGGCACAACTTGGAAATTCCTTTGTCAGGGTAATCATGGTTATTGAAACTGTTGAGCAAGGTTGCTTCCTCGTAATTCCACACCCTAATATATTACACATGAAGAATTAATATATCATAGAAAAATCGTTTTGAAAAAATCTTAAGCAAAATAGAGGATTGTGTGTGACAAATATATTCCCCAGAGTTTGCCTACCTAATCCTTTCACTTTCATCTGATGCAATCACAACAGGCGAGAAAGGCTGCAGTAAAGCAGTCTTGGTGCCAGTCTCAAACTTTGTATCCCAACTGGCAATTTGATTATGCAGCTTATTCACAGCTGACAAGGAAAAAACAACATTAGAAGACATCAATTTAACTCCACGAATTAGGGGTTTTTATATTAACTTACCAAAGCGTTGGCATTTCCCTATTTGATCCAGGGCCAATTTTTCCCGTTGTTCTCTTCTAGCATTTATATCTTCAGTATCATCTATTACAGTAAGAAGCGGCTTCGAGAAGTGACCACAACTCCAATTATAAATCATTGACTGAGGAAGAAAACTACGTTCTGAACCACCAGATGGTCCAGCTGAAGCTAAGAGTGGATCAGCGAGTCCTGAATCTGGAGAACTCATCACATGTGGCCTAAATTCCAATGAACAGACTCTCCGCATTCCAGTCAAGTAGCTTGGTCTAGGTGGACTAACAGGAGGGGTTCTAAAAGTCAACGGCAAGTGGCCACCTAAAGAAAATTCAGTATGAGAGCAGAACACAAATAAATCAACATTAGAAGCAAACAGAATAACAGAGAAAGTAAAAGGCAAATAACAACAAACTTCAACGTGCATATGACACAACATGCCTATCTCCATTCAATTCAAACTAAGTTGAAAAACAGAAGTCTTACCTCCGTTTAATTCAAACCAAGATGAGGAACGAGCTAGTCCAGCAATGCTACCGCCCGCAGTCGCAGCTGATTCACCAAGACGCGCACCCACACCAACAGGCTTGGCAGGTCTTGCAATTACTTGTTCAATACCTATAATAGACAACACCCTCCGTCCAAGGCCTGCAACACGTGGTGATGGATCCTTGGCTAGATTACACATAGCTA